TAAGAATCTATGCCAAAATTCTGAATTGCAACGAGCATTTTCAGTTAATTTTGTTTTGTGGCTAAACAAAAACACTGACAACTGAAGACAAACACGAGCAGTCTCCAGCAGAGACACTACTGACTTCTCACTGTGAAAAATCTAGACTCTGATTCTTGCAAGCATGTGTATGTATAAACACACACGCACACAGAATTCTGTGAAGAAGCTGGAGGAAAACAACATATTAAATCTGTCATTGCAAACCATGCTAGTTCATTCCTAACCCATTCATGACTAACAGAAGAAAAACAAACCAAATCCTAGGCTGAATACACAACTAGCGTTTCAGCCAGAGGTCTATAATAAGGTGGCTTCAAAGGCCGGGCACATAAACTACATTTTCAGAGGAGGATCCTACATAAGGACGCAAATTTTGAAAAGATTATTTCACTTTACAGATTTCTAGTTTTCCTTGAAATACACAATTAGTACCTCAGAAATAAACATGAATCCAGCTCCCTTTACACAATAACATTTGAATCTTTCTCAAGAATAAAAGCTCAATTTAAGAAACATTTATTAGTGGTGACAGAATAAGAGCATGCTCGTGTTAAAGCAGCTACATTTTCTGTCTTCCCTAGGTCACAAACTGGAACATCTAAACTGAAAGTTTAATCTGAGAACCACAAGTCTATGAAATCTATGGGGAAAAGTAGCAAGGAGATAACAAGTGGTCCTAATACTAGCATCTGTTGCTAGTCTGAGCAAAATAACTCAGTCCCATTTCACATTATGACAGGTCTTTGGGGAATAAAAACCTCAAGGGTTATTCTAGCTGAGTTAAGAAGGGGACTCAGATAGATGACACTAGAAGCAATTTGAGATGAGGACATCTTATGTAGTAATTTACTATAGCCCAATTCAAATATTAAATTCGGTCTAAAGTTATGAACTTCTTGGCCCTCCCTACTGTACCATATGAATCCTGGTATTCACAAGGTCTACATGCTGTGTTAATACTGAAACTGTACATGAAGCATAAGAATTTTGTGTTCCATTTCTAGTTTTATGGATAAATTATTTCAGGCCTCTTATGTAGGGTGTTCATTTTGCCATACAGGACGACAAATTTTATTGTTTTATTGTTAGTGTTGACATTTGTAATGATTTTGCTTTATATTTACACAGCAATGGGGATTTACGGATCCACAGAAATAACAGACAACCATTTGAGAAAGTTTACATCTACAGTTAGATCTCAATCCCAATCTGGATCTAAATTCTCAAAATGAGAGATGAGATTCTATTGTTCATGTGAAATGGATGTTAGCTGGGTTTTCCTGACCCCCTTAGGCTTTCCTAAATTCCACAATGTCTGAGCTGCAATACAAAAAATATTTTCAAACTTTGTCATGTATGAATTCGTACTAAGGAAAAGAAGGCTCTTGTAATAACCTGTCACCAGACTTTTTTCTGTCATGCTGGGAATTTTAAAGAAAAAAATTCCCTGAGAACCTGTGAAAATAAAACAAACAGAAACAAAAATATATTGGAAACTCTCTTACATGATGTTATTTTAAAGACTGATAAGACCTATATTTGAATGGCAGAATCTTCACTGGAAAAGCCTAGAAATAAATGAACAACCCCATTCACAACTTCTCTCACTCTTCTGCTTTGTGGAGGTGCTGGTGAAGCACAGCTGCATCAGCATACAGAAATAAAAGTCAGGGTATCAAATTCTGCACATGATTTTATCCCATACAGCTGTGTAACACCTTCTACAAATTGCAAATTCTTCTGGGTTTTCTTTCCTGTAAGAATGGGACTACTCAGTTGTGAAGAGTGTTATGATTCACCACAATTAGATTCAAATTAGAGAACTATTCCTTTTAATGAGTATAAAAAATTACATTGGAATCACATCACTAAAGGACAATCTGATGTTTATTACATGTAACTGCTAGCCTTGCCATGTGTGAGGGATGCATGTGAATATCAGCACATCTCTAAAAGTTCAGCAGCAAAGTTCCTTCTCCTTGTCAACATTTTTGAATGTGATTTTTAATGAATGCAATCTGCTATGTTGGGAAGGTGAACACTAACTGCTGCTGGGAAATAAATTTGAGATGAAAATCTTTCTTGTCACCTCGGCCAGGAAGAGAGATGGAACTGGTTCTTGGCAGAACTTCTGAAGAGCACTGCAGGTATTATTCAGCACTGCTCTGCCTCTGTCTTCTTCAGAAAGTGCCTGAAGGAAATATTCCACCAACATAAGAGAGACTCCAAATACTGAAATTCTGACTCCTTTTTCAAATTACTGTTTGAGTTTGAATAACAGCTGTCTGTATTTTGTAATTTTTATCTGAAGGCGTAGAAAGCAAAAGGGAGGAGGTACTGATGCAACACATTTTCTCCCAAATTATTTTTGACAGAAATTCTGTGTAGTTAGAGGGTACCATGATATACAAAACACTTTAGTTCTGTATTCTAGTAGAAAAGTTCTACTATAATTAGAATTATCACAATTGTAGCCCTTATCATTAACCAGGACACCATTTCTCTTGTGACGCCGCTCATTGATTTTTTTTTTCCACAGTTGGTCAATTTACTGTTTGGGAATAAACAGACCTTTCTTATAAATGCCTAAGAGATTTGTAGAAATAAATTTTTACCAGTACTTTTATACTTTGAAATAGAGCTAGTAACTTGGTAAATTACAACACCAGTACTTATTCAGAACTAGAATCATCAGAATTCTTTTCCCTCATAAAAGCACTAATCAAAAAGTATTTTTATCACTTCCTCTCTACCCCTCTAGCATCTTCCTTCCTTAATTTAAAATGTTATTGTTCCCATTCCACATAGCCCCTACCTTCTTCATTTTCAGGTCTATGAAACGTACATTAAAAGAGCTGTTTACATGGCAAAATGTCCTGAGGCCAGTGGATAAAATACTACTATGAACCCACTCTTACTATGAACTGCCCAGAGCATGGCGTTCTCCCTTGTTCATCCCATGAACATTCCTCGCAAAAGTTTTAAAACGTTTACAATACACCTAATGGCTCTGTTAACAGATGTATTCTATCTGACAGGACTCAGCCTGGTTGAGTTTACCTACTGGCTGATGCACTTAAACTTCCTGTTCTGAGCACAGTCTGTGAGGCTACAATGCCTCATTGTTTGGCTCCTCATAGGTGATAATGAAATTGGCATTCAGTTCCCACTCCTGAATGGCTTCCATGAGACTTTGAAAAAGTTGTTTGCTACTCCTGGTATTATATAACCATCTTAGTTTCAGCATGCAAAAAGGCATGCTCTAGTCAAATACCTTATCTCCAGGATTATATTAATAACTAAACATGAGTCATGCTGGGCATCAGATATGTTTGTGTCTATACACAATATTCAGTTAGGACTCTTAAAAATTGAGTTAAATCTGTTAATTAAATGGACTTGGGCAGCCCTTCATTTACTACACAAATGGCCCAGTTGCACTTTTGCCTTTACACAAGTTAACATTACACTGGAAACTGAAGAGAGGATCACAAGCAGATTGCATTACCTGATAGAAATCTAGCCTTGTCCAGCTAAGCTTTAAATTAAGATTTTAGAACTGCATGATCAGTGCCTAATAAGCCAGGCTGAAAAAGCACTGAGCTTTCTGACCACAGTCCAGCAAAACACTGAATCACGCTTAATCATAAGGACACAAGTAGTCCCATAGATTTCAGTGGAATTAAGTGGTTTCATGCCTACATCTATCAGTAGCAGCATTCAGCACTTGCAAATGTAGTCACTAAAGGAAGTTCATAAGCACCGAGCAATGGATACAATGACCTTGAGTGTATATCTACCATAAGAATAGAAAGTAACTACAACATAGTACTCTTTACGTGAGATGTGAGTGGTTTGAAAATAATTGATAGTATTTTCTAAGTGCAGCTCAGTCAGAACTACAATATTCTATGAGGGAAAAAGAAAGGATTCTTGTCCCATTAAGTTAAAATAAGAGAAACAAACGTTCTGACAAACAACTTAAATTATATGTACATATTTCACTGCAAAATATCAGACATAATTGAAAATTTACAATGTCCTTGACAACTTAACAGATAGAAATTGTGTGTGTGGTCCAGCAAACTGAACTGCAATTATTTCAATGTTCTGGACAATCACATTGATATTTTATTGCTCCTTTTTGTTACATTTATGAGCTGGAAGTATTAAGAAATGCAAAGCAGCTCCTATGAACATATTTACCCCCACACAAAAATCTCTGCCAGATATTTCTACAGGTTATGAAATGATTTAAACCTTCAGCAACTTATTTTAATCTATCATGATTGATAGAGTATCTTACCAGGAAAAAAGTATATAATAAGGCTCTTCTAATCACGAAATATTTGGAACCATGAACAGTTTATTTATCATCAGGCCTTCTCAAAAGGACTCTATTTTTCCACAGTCTTTTGCAATTTCTTTTATTATTTAACATGAAATTGTTATACGAATTCCATGTATAAACTCATGCCCTTTGTGCTTAAAATGGGATTTTAAGCCTTTAGGACCAATTGAGCATCTCAGAATATCCCAGATAGATATCTACCTCATGTTCAAAGTGCCTGAAAGCACTAGCACATCCTTTCTTGGCTTGAAATGTACCTACGTGACTGTAGCCTTGTGCTACCGGCATTCCTGAAATATTCTGGCCTGGGCAAGGGACATTACTACCACCTGAGATTTCCAGAAAACCAGTGGTTAGACCACCTGGAACCCAAATCCAATAGTTGAACTAAAGGCATGCTGAATGACAGGATTAGGCTCCTTGCGGACACACAGTCATGGTGGTGACTGACTTCACTTTGTTAACTAGCTGGATGAGAAAGCATTTACACGAGATGTGGAAGATTAGGGATCAGATCACTCATATTTGCATACAGGGTCTCCAGTTTGAATTCATGTCTGAATTCAGTCTCAGACTCATCAAGGATGAGACTGGATCAAGGACTCCTACCTTTCAGGCGTCTTTTAGGAATCACTCAGGCCAAGTGTCTTTCAGCCTCCTTAGCTAAAGCTCTTCTAATCTGTAAAGCGAAATAATTAGATTTTAGTCAAAGCAGAACTTGGGTCACTCTTCTTGCAGACAAATCTCCAATATGGCTGAGAAGCCATCCCCTAAATACATTCAAAACACATTTTATGCATCAAATGAAAAGAACACCTCTGACAGCACACACTGGGGGGTGGGGGTGCGTGTGTCGTGTGTTGAGCTGCGGGTTCCCAAATGCCACATGCCTTGCCAAGACGAGGGTTGCCCCTTAGAGGCTGCAGTACATGGGCAACTCACCCATGGCCGTAGACAGTCCTTAAATGCTGCAGTGCACAGGCAAAATACACAAGGGTAGGGGTAGTAATTAAAACAGCAGCAGAAAACCAGTAAGAAGCTCAGAGCTTCAGACCAAAATCTGCATGCACACCACCAGCTTCCTGCACCACTCCTCACCTCACTGGAGGAATTTGTATGGACCAAGTGTAACCCTTACTAAAAATGAGAGAACTTTAGACTAGGAAGTGGGAGGAAAGGTGTTTGCCTGGAGTTGAGCTTGGAAAAAGAAGAAGAAAAGAGTTTATTTGTTTGTTTATGTTCTTTTCTTCTTAAAACACAAAATATTGATCAGAAATCTCTGTTAATGGACAATAAATTAAGTATAAATTCCCCAAGTTCATTTTCTTCATGGTGTTCACCTGAGCAAAAAGATCAAATTCTTCCACAATTGTACGTCCAGTCCCAATCTATCTCCATGAAGCATCATCTCATGGAAGGAGACCATGGAAGTAACCACCATTAACACAGAAACACTGATGCATTCATTCCTGTCCATATTTGTGAGTCAAAAAATATTAGACTCAACATACCTCCACAACAAAGATGTGGAAGACATGTAGGCTCACTGAGATGTTTCTTTCAGGGTTTCCACACCACCTGCAATAGGTGGATAAAGAAAGTGGTGTGTTGCCAGAAACATGTGTCAAGCATCCAGGGCTACAATACCTGAACTTGTCTATCTCGTGGATTCATGCATCTATATCTCACCTCTTACAGAAAAGACCCTAATATTGAGTGATTTTAACTTTCCCTGGCCTAAAAATCTAATCAGGCTTTTTGCTAAGATTCTCTAATTATGACTTTCTCAGCCAACTTTAACCTTTATTTGGACCTTTATTTTTTCTGCAAAACAGGAATCAGTTATGTTTACCAGTTTAGTACTGACAATCATGCCCTTGTTTATTTTATACTGCTGTCAGTATCTTTTTTAAAAAAGCAGCATAGCAAAACAAAAAAAAATAATTCAGACAAATAGCATTTTTACATTGATAGGAAAGTTCAAAGTCATTGAGGCCAAAGAATTGGTCAAAACCGCAGAGGTTTTGACTCCAGAAAGTGACTAACTCCTTTTATGCAAATAAACAGACATCTATCTGTTCTTGCTTCTATACCTCAATAAAATCTGTAAGCAGCTTAAAAGTTTCTGTGCAATATAGCATGAAGCTGTGAAAAGCAACATACCATTTCACTTCTTGTAGTAATTTCAACTGCAGACTTTAGAAGACCAGTTGTATTATAATAAACAAACCATACAAGTCTGATCTGATTGTGCAGACAGTAAGCAGGCACACAGTTCGTCTTAATGTATACTAAAAATTCTTGGCACCCCAATGCAAACAAACTGCAATGAAAAAAATAGCAGGATGAGCAATCCTCCAAATCTTGCTTAAGATCCTCTTCATTGCCCCAGGATCAGTCTTCCCTGCTTCTTGTACTGAAATGTATACAATTATTTATGTAGGTCTGAGACAAGGAAGAAAGCAAAACTCTCTCTCACTGAGAATATTTTCAAGCAGTCTTTCAGAATTTTAATGCAAACACAGTAACATCTCCCTTTGAATAATATTCATTTTGTGCAGATGCAGCTATATACATGCTATGGTATATCTCTGATCACTTCTAAGGAACAACTGTATCAAACTTTCATGGTAGCTACATGTTCGATATTAGAATTCAAGCTGTCATTTTAATGAATAAAATGGCCAGGCAGTCAAAACTGCCCTAGATTGAATTTGGTAAGAACAAACAAAGAGAATAAGTCACTAGTAGAAAATTTTCTTTTATAAAGAAATTCTGTTTGATTTAGGGGGTTATTCTAGCAATGTATCTTCCCCTATGAAATCCACAGCTCTGAATGCCTCTGAAAACTGTTTTAGTTCCAGAAATACTTTTACATTTAAATTTTAATTATAGCCCTTACTTCTATCTTCTTACGCCAGACAAAACTTTTGGTAGTCAGGGGGAGTTCTGCATGTCTAGTCACCTCTGCAAAGAAAACACAACCAATTAAAGATATACTGTCAAGTAGATTTGAAATAGCATTTAAAATGTTTCTGTAATTGGAACTATAAAGAAAATTTTAACTGTCTAAAATACAGTTTCTATAAATGGCAGTATGTTTCAAAAATTGTGTTAGCATCTTCTGTGTTAAAAACTTGAGATTTGTCCTTATGGCAATAATTACTTGGCAATTCCAGTTAACACAAAATAGGATTTTTTGCTGTCTGTGTAGCAAACACAGCATTGATGCCTCTGTTTCAGATGTCAATATTCCAGATCTTTCAATCACAACCATTTAACCAATGATTAAGCTGCCACCCTGTCAGGACTTCTCTTTGTTTTCCTTCACTTCAAATTCACTTAAAGTACTTTATCAAGTTACAACCCCAATATAATTTCTTTTCTTAACTTTTCTTATGGCCTCATCCAAACTAAATTAGTCTATAATTTCATCTTCCCTGGATGAAAATTTGGATAGGAGACAAGATTCACTAAAATGTTCTGCATCTGTTCACAGTATATTTGTGTGTAATTTATCATTACATCATAAAACATAGTAGACATTCAGTTTTGAAAACTGAACACTCAGTTATTGGTACAGTAAATGCAGATGGCAAGTGTGTTGCAGATAGTACTCGAGAGGACTTTCCTGATGCTTTTGCTCCTAAGTAACACTTTTTACCATTAATTAAGTAACACTGTGTATTAATTTTGTTTTTTCCATGGCAATTCCTGGAAATATCATACTTACATGTGGACTATATATTTATGTAATTATAAATAAATATAGAATATTTTGAATAGTCTTGCATGTGTGAAACTGACTCTTTCCTAGCAATTGTTTGGAGATAGAACTCTGTAAAAGAATATAACAAAAATTCTGGTCTTGTAGCTTTTTAAAATCAGTTTTCCTCCAATAACAAATCATGAGGATTTAAAGCATAACACATACATACAGTTACAGTAAAATGAACTCAGCAATATTTAACCATGTTTGGTTTTTATCTTGACTGATACATTTTTCTTGCCACTTTTTTGAGATTCCATTTAGTGAGATATAACCTATTTCTTCTACAATATATAAGTTACCATCATCATGAAGAAAATTTACAGTCAAGAAGAGAAAATGACATAATACCACAGGAATAGTTTCATGTTGACAAGAAAGAAGATTTTCCTCCAAATCAGAACACTGACTTGACTACTTAAAGATGCTTCATAAATAAAACACTTCCCTAAGAAACATCTAAGATTGCAACACCCAGAAAGTCCCAGAACTCCCAGGAAATCATATTGCTAATGCCACACAATGACTAAGCTTTCTAAAAATGGTTTCAAAAAAATGAAGGTCAAAAGGAACAGAAAGAAGACACAAATAAACTATGTGGTTTGCCTTTCCTTGTCAAACAGTACAGCTATACAGGTCCTTGGCAGATACACGGCCTGTCCCTTGTATTGCACCATACTGGGACAAGTTATACCTACATCATTTTCTCATAGCCTTCCAATATCCTGTCTGACTTGTAATCCTTGCACTATATGACCTCTCAAGAAATCTCCATTCTACTCACCAAACACACTCACTCTCACCCCGTCTTCTGCATTTTTCTTGATTCTTCTGCCAGGAAATCAAAGCTTTTCCATGACCCAGCTGGATTTAGAAGGGGATGAGTTAAAATCTAGCACTGTTTATAAGGACAAATGATGATCTCTGTACATTCAAAAACAACCCCTTGTAGCCTCTTAACCTTGTCCCAAAGTTGCATTTCTCCTCGACTAGGTCAACTTAACAAAACATGACCAAGTCATGTCAATGATATTATAAGCCAAGAACACAACAAGAATTTTGAAAAAAACAGAGCTGCAATGACATTTTCAAAATGTTTAAATGTTTATTTTAATCTGGTTGCTGACTAAATTTCCCAGGGAAGTTTAAGACTGAAATGACATGAGGTGTACAAACCTATTGGAAGTTTGCTTTCTTTCTGATGACATTGGGGATTGTCTGTAAATTCCTGGTATTTGATGAGCCTTGCACTGATAATATCTTAAAGAAATGACTGAAAGAAGCCCTGGAAGAACAGTCCTGAGTTAAGAGCAGTATAACGGCCTAAGGAGAAATAGGATCACTCTTGTAATTTAGCAGACATATAAGGATGTTGTTTTTAAGGATCTTCAATCTTTCCACACCACAGACTGAGAAAGATGATGGATCGTCCACATCAGAATTTGGGCCCGTGATTATTTTGTGTCGCAGTTATGTCAAGTACAGTGAGTTTACAATCTCAGTTGAGACCTCCAGGACCTAGTAATATATAAAAACAGGCAAGAAGAAAAAGCTACTAGCCTAAGTAAAAATTAAATTTTCATATGGTGGAAATCATTTAATGAATGAAATTACTAAGGGAAACTTCTTTATGTCCTTTTAGGATTGTCAAAGTTTGAATTACTTTCCGAAATAAACATTCCTCAGCATTTCACACTTCTTTAATTCTTCCAGAATTCAGCAAATATTAACTGTTCTGTCTGAAATTTTGGATGCTTGCTTCAGGATGATTCAATTATTACCATCTGAGAGATTCTGATGTCTGCAAAACTTCAGTTGAATAAGGCCAGCCTAACCTCTGAAAAATATCAATTCCGTGATGCTGAAGAGAGGATTGCAATAATACAACAGATCCTCACTGAGGATTCAGTTGGTACTGAGCATGTTCAGTCCCAACGGAGCATTTACCTTTTAGCTGAATTGCTGCACAGGCCAGTGTACTCTGTCTCAAGCTTTAATTGATTTGCTGTATTTGCTATATTTCGCACACTTGCAGTCAGTTACCACTGGGGGGAGAGGGTAAGCAAACCAAAGGCAACTAAATTTTCATATACATTACTCAAATCCTGCCAATCCTAAGAACAATGAGACTTCATATCCCTTCTTCCTCCTAGGTTTAAACTTATTTTCCTAGTTTGTTACAACCTCCTCTGGGATTGTGAATGAGTGTGCTAAATTTCAGGAATGCCAAGATTTCTCTATCAGCAGAATATTGTGGGTGCAGGGGTGGAGATGGTGGTAGAGTGTCAAAATGAAAATTTATGACAGAGTTGTGGCACAACTTCAGTTACTGAGTGATTACTGCCATTCCTTAGTAACCCACTTTCCTCCTCAAGCTATGCCGTTAATATTCTGGAGTATTAATTAGTGGCTTTGAGGTCATCTCCAGCACTTCAACTATGTCAGGATTCCTCAAAATTTGGAAAGAAATAGCATGAACCTTGTAAGAATCTAGAACCAGACGCAGAAATAGACCTGCTTTGATACAATCACATCAGAAAAAAAAAAAGGTTATATTATTTCCAATCAAAACGTCTAAATTGTTAACAAATACTTCAGCAAAATGTATATTTATCCTACAGGGCAAAGGAGTTAGAGAGGTGTTCTCTCTTGTAAAGAAACCATATTGTTCTCCACTTCAGGATCTTCTAAGAATATCCGGCAGACAGACAGCATGGAAAGGCAGGGATGAAAGGTCTTTGTAAATGATCCTTTGTGCCAACATTGGAAGAGCAATTCCTGTGGCTGCTTCAGCCTTCTGGACCTTAGTGACTCATGTTCTTCCAAGGGTAGTGTATTGGACATGCATTTTGATTTCTAAATTAAATGGTTGGTATGCTCCTGAGAACTTCACAAAGTCACCTTTCCAAGCAGTTACTGAGGGTGCATGCACTCTATGAGGCTGTGACATCTTCAGAGACCATAATTACTTTGAGCCAGTTTTCTAGTAGCTGCTGTCTCCCACAAGTTGATGAGCTCCAGATACTATGGTTCAACTCATTCTGCTTTTCATCCATAAATTGAAGTTCTGCATTTGGTACCCTTGTCAGAGGTCCCAGCCTGGTATTATGCATTTGAATGCCTCGCTCTATTTCTAATGCATATGAAAGACTAGTGCCTGATTTTTTGAAGATTTTAGGGATTTTTGTTTGTTTGTTTTTTAATGTGACTGAAAGATCACCTGTTAAATGAACCAGAACAATGAAAGTATAAAAGAAAGGTTTCACCTGCTGTTGTATGGAATTACTGCTTGCCACCATAGTAACATGATTTTGGGATAATTAATGAATGAGCTGTGATGTGATAAACAAAGCATTAAGAATGTTAGGATATAAAAAGATTAATGATAAATTCTGCCTTTCATCTCTCTGACTATGATTTTGAAATTATTTTTTAAAATATTGTGTTAAACCTGTAGAAATTTTTTTTTCTTCACCCTGAGAAGTACCTTAAAAAGCAAGGGATCAATATCTAAACTATTTTCAGTTACTTTAATAAAAGTGGTTACTGTTTTGAAAAAGATCGTTCACCTGTAATTTTCTGACCCATGGGAGTGGATTACCCCCACCTCCCAATGTTTTTCAATTGTATGCACAAAGATATATTCAGGGGCAGGAAGAGTGGTCTACACTACACTATAGTGAGCTGGACCTGAATAAATCTATAATTTTTTTCTTTTATTTTGTTTCTATCCTTTTGGTGTTTTATCCAGCACACTTGCATCTATGCTCTATGATAAACCATATGTTGATAACATTACTTTTGAGCTTCCATTCAGCCTGGAGAGGCTCAAGATGAAACCAAAGTTGAGATATGCAACACAAATTTACAGGAAAAGTATGCGTAAAGGCACTTTATATATACTATTTACCCATTTTTTAATCAATTAAGTAATAAAAGTAAGACTTTGTTTTTCTTTCCCAAACTTTAACTAAAATTACTTTAACAGTTCATTTTGTGTAATCTGGAATAATAAATTCAATGAGGACACTAATCTTCTTGGTTACTTCAAGTCTGAAGTACCCTTTTCAGATGAATAACAAACTGAATTTATTATTAAAAATATATGTATATATATATACATGCATGAGAAACATGACTTCAGCACTTTCTGGAAATTAACATTATTCTACCTGCAATTATCTGAGCAATTTCCCAGGAGATAGCTAAAATATACATGGATATTACTAAAAAAAAAAAAGCCTTCTCAAAGACAATATTGCTTGTAATCATCCTATGTACTCAGCCACAGCTTATCTGATTTAAGTTGGTGAGATATGAATATTATTTCACTCTAGCATAATTTCAGCTGCTGAGTTACATATTATATTTTCTTCTGACAGGTTTAACCCCTTTGATTTCATGACAATTATGTAAAGCAATCTGTTTTGCTACAGTATTGTAAAGCTAAGTTCTAATTTTGCAGAAATTCACAGGAAGAAAACACGAATATTACAAGAGTATAGTATAGAATTAAAATTCTGTAGAATTAAAAAATATTAACTTATTTAAAAAAACAATAACAATCTGGGGCAAATCATTAATTATAATAGCATCTGGCACTTGTATAAAAAGAAATGGCTGGAGGCATGTACACTAATTTTAAGTATAAAAAGGAAGAACAATTTAGCAGCAGGAAGCTACAGATGAGACATTTTTCAGTAATAAACCTATGAAAAAAATCCAGCTGAAATAATCTCCAGGTGAGAGGAAAAGTTTTTATCTGTCTTGGGCTCTTCTACCTCCTACTGAACACTTGCATAGCAGTTATAAAACTGTACTGGGGTTATCTCCCAGCAAACCACTCTTGATTCAGTAAAACGTACAGACAAGCTTTATTTTTAGCATGGACTTGAACCACTCTGTTTTAATGGGAACACTTACATATACTCTTATTAGACCAAATGATAGTTCTTTCCTGAATATAGACTCTGTTCCCTATTAAGACTGAATTTTGAATTACATGAAGGACATACACTGCTGCTACAAAATAAGTTTACAATCCCTCCTCACTCCCTATATCTTACATTTTAAAATCCCTTAAAAAAGAAAGGCTTCATTGATGAGCTACCAGCTGGCACCATGAGCTTGGAAGGAACTGCTTTCTTAACCACTGATTTGAATCAAATTCTGGCAGGAGGATGCAAGTATCATATATTTTCAACCACATTTCTTTTTTTGTTTTGGTTGGTTTGTTTGTTTTTCAGTAGAGGATTTGAAATAAAAATTCTCCTGAACACAGAAAAAAACTGAAACACAGATTATAAAGGAAAAGGATGATGCAGCTCAAAAACCTGACAGGCATTTCAGACTACACCTAGGTGCCAATTGTAAAAGTAAGGCATAGAGTTTTCCAGAATGAAGAAAGAAAAGCTGCCTCAAGGTGCAAGAAGAAACATTTCTCTACTTAGAGAATTAGATTATGTACCAGAAAGTTGAAAAGAGCTGGAGGAAGACTAGGATTCTCTGCACAGTGTTCTGTACCATCAACAGAATTATTTACCATGGAACTGATCCACAAAGGGGTTTAGAATCATTGTCACAATGCTTACCTTTCCATCACCTCAGGGAATTGATAGCTGTGAACAAGGCAGTTCAGTTTGTGTTCCAAGGTGTTGCAGAGTTAAACAACTAAAAACGAATTCCACAAAAGCAGTGCATCATTTGGAAGGCAATTTTTTAATCCCTAAAACAAGAATGGGATTCACAGTTCTTCAAGATTTTTCTGGGAATTTCAAGGGGTTTTTTCTTGGAATTAGAATGTACGGTTGATGGTTTCTCACAAAGCAGAGCTAGAAGAAGCTGCAAAGTAGCATGGG